TTGGTTTTATTACTTTTTTCTATTTGATTCCCAAATATTATATCAACAAAAGCATTTCCTTTTATCTTAAATGGGTAAATTAATTGCTAATCCATGTTGTTCTCTTCATAAATCGAAGGAATAAAATAGGATCAGCTCAATGAAAGCACAAATACCACGGTATTTTTCTTTAAACAGTTAAATTTGCTAAATTTATTTGAATAACATTTCTCTAATTTGAACAAGAATACTACTGTTGAAGTTACGTAAATTGTGTAATGTTTATTTCAATCTCAAATATTTTATCTTTAGTTTATAAATACCACTTTATATGCTCCGTTCAGCATATCTTTCCCACTGACAATTAATCTAACCGCGCAAAACTGATAACACAGACCACGATGACAGGAAGGCAACAAGACTGTCATGATAAACATTTAATACTGGGGACTTTAATGCGATGTCCCTTCAAGACGTAGACGATCAAGGTTCTCCATATATTTCGTTTCTTTATTATCTGTGAATTACCATGACTTCTTGGTAAAGATAATGAAGTGGTTTCCCGGTGTCGTCTCAACGGTGTGGAATTCAGAGTTTTCTTTCTATTTGACTGGTTGCCAACCAAGGCTAAAGATCCTGGTATATTCTACTTTCATTCTAATCCCAGAACATAGTTTCTGTTTTTGAAATGTTTATCTTGAGTGATATTTCCTGAAATACTTGGTAGAAGATTTTTGTTCAAGATCAATTTTATCCTAATAACGATTACCTATGTCGTCAAAATACCCCCCCCGCACACACGCACTCATCATCAGTATATTTCCCTCGAGAGGAAAAGCAGGAACGCTGTTTTCTATTAGTAAATTCGTTTTAGATGTGGTATGGAACGTTAAAATCCAATGAAGATCGAATTCATTGTAAAGATTGGCCCATTAACTATTATCAAACGGTTAGGCATTCTTTTTGCTATCGTTTGCTAATTTGTTATCGTGTCATTATAGACAATGAAATAATCCAATAAAATAATTTCTTATGTTTGTCGCTCGTGCCGCTACAAGGTCCTGGAATAATATCCTGTTTCTTTTTATCCCGGAAAACATCTGATTTGTGTCATTACTGTTTGTTTACATGATGGGAGCGTGTGGTTAAAACGTTCGGTTTCCGATCAAGAAACTCAAGTTCGAATCACACAATGATCGATTTGTCAGGGAGTTGACTTCTCGATGTTATTGGACTGTGGAGGTGATTCCAGCGTGAGGCACCTCTGGAACGTGCATGAAGACCATATCACGGGAGAGTGAAATTGGGTAGACATAAATGTTTGGAAGTCGGCAGTCGATGGTTGTGCTAGCAAGAAATCACAAGTCATCGTGACCGCCATATGATGCGCTCTCTTCAAAAAACAGTGAGGTCCGAACAATAACTGACATCAAAAAACAGCAAGATAACTAAAAGATATCCAATTGTCAACCAAAACAATGGACACCCGATGATAACCGGAGGGTACATAGTCAAAACGTTGTGTCTATAATAAGATCTATATAAAGTAAGATGAGAACAAATAGTTCGAAAGAATACATGACTATTGTCAATTACTCATCTCAGAAATGAAATATTAAATCATCAAAAACGGTACGAAGCCGCCATCATAACGAAATGTCAAAACCATCTGACATTGAATATAAAAGGCTCCCAAAACACACCACTAATATCCTTGGATATAGCAGTTGGTTATATATGTGAGTTCAGTCCCTAGCACAGGTAGCCAATCAGGTATAACTGACATCATAGGGAAACTAACACAATAATCAACATCAACAGATATCAGCCAAAACAATAACGATGATGATGATGAGGAGGAGGATGACTATAATAACACACATATATATATATATATATATATATATATATATATATATATATATATATAAATCCAGGTGCGAATTAATACAAGTATATTGAAGTCCGCTCAGCTTAGTTGTAGCTTGGTTCTGTGGATATTGAACATATACAAATGTAATAGCCGCCCTAGAAGAGGAGTGTGTTCGGAAATAGCCGATCATTAAATAATCAAACCAAAGTCGTTTGCACAGTTCCCAGTGCATGATTATTCTCATTCCCTCGTGATTATTTTTGTCATCATTTTGAGCCAGCTTGACTTATAATGTGTTTTACAGTTCCATTTTTTTTCTGTACAAAGGCGATATTTTCTCTTTTCTTTTTTATTTTTTGTCTATTTTTATTGATATAATTAGTCCTGATGCATTTGTTATAGACTGTAAAAATTCCATTTCTTTTTGCACGTGTCATCTGCGTAACCCTATTCATGACTGCCTGTTATAGTTTCTATCTTTCAAATTTTTCGTGGAAATTGTTTTTGTTCCGGTTTCTATTTCCTTATTCTATTGCCACGTTCCTCGTTCTTTTTTATCAATTATTCCACTATAACAAGTAATTTTCACAATGTCATCACTGATCTTTTGCGTACATGTTTTGCAAATTCTGTTTTAGCTTTCTGAACGATTCTAGATTATCTACCCGCTTCTTTTCTTTTTATATATAGTCTTTTGGTAGTATCTCTACGGGCCATAGACAATGATTATTATTATGGAACAAAGTGGCTGTTTTGTTTATTTTTTTTTCCCGTGTCAGTAGTAACTGGTGCCTCACATTGTAGATTAAGTGACACTAAATCTCAGTACATCAGTATTCTTCCATTGTCGTTTGGATGATTTCCATTCACCCATAGATTTTCAGTTATTCCGATCTCATTGCAGTGACTTGACTCTAGGGACTGTCCCAAGCTCAATAATATTTTGAATATATTTCACGTCTATATTTTGTGAACTTTCAGTTCTCTTACAAAGCCTGTTTTTTTTTGGGGGGGTTATTAGCATTTTCACTTTCTTTCAACTACATTCTTTGCTGACCAACGATATCCACTCTGACTAATTTTCATGTTCATGATAACTGGATTTGATTTCTTGGCACAGATTAAGTGATCCGTTTGAAATTTAAATTTTATATCTTTATTATGTAAGACAATTTTTGGTTTCTACATATATTGTTGTTTTATTTTGCCAAATGCCACTCGTTTGCATAATTCCAAATGGATCACGTTTCCCACCCAGTCGTACCTATTTTCGCGTTCCTTTCAAGGCATCTTGCTGCAATCACCTATTCTATGATTGGTTGTCTCAGCTCTATCTGTGCAGAGTCTACATTTATTATTTTGATGTGTCATCTCTATTTATAGTTCTGAGTCGCCATATTAGTTTAATTTGCTAATTGCCGAAATAAATAAATTATAAAGAAATAAGTTTCATCTATTTCGACTATTCCCGAGTTTATATCAATGAAGGAAAGAAAATGTCAAATACCTCATGCAATTTTATGTAACTTGTTTCTGCATAAACGAAAAAAGAATCTTATTTCAAAAACCGGAGTTATTCGACATGTTGTCAGTATTATACATGTGTAATTTGCAATAATCTTGAGCTTAAACTGCGACACTAGTTTTTGTTGTTCCCAAATATACGGTTATTCTAATAAGATTCTATGCGTCGTAATACTGTTTGTTCAGAAGTGCAGCCTTCCTAAAGGAGAAAAGGTGTAATTGTAGTTGCCAGAATTATTATCAGTTTAGAGTTTTTTTTAATGGTGAAAATGATAGTTATAACTTAACTCCCTTTAAAAATGTTATAATCCAGAATCTTTGTCATTCGTTTATAGTTATAACAAAATTTCTTATCATCATCATCATCATTACCACCTGGTAGCTATTACAGGAGTCTAAGTAACAGAAAGTCTCTTTAAATTTTCTGGGACTTCCTGAAGATCATCATGATCATCACCAACAGTAACAACATTATTATTGTTGTTGTTGTTGTTCTTGTTGAATGACACAGAGCAGCACACCATCGCTGGTGTACGAATATAACGAAACCGAATATACCCATCATGACACCCTGTCTGATAAGTGTATACCAGGTACATGCAACACTGCCAAATGTGAAAGGTTTTGATAAAAGCACCACATAAATTCGCACATGGGACCCAATTCGAAATGCATTCGATAACACAGTCCGCTCAGGCAATCTCTGATTGTGGATGTTTCCAAGGTTTTAGTTGTGGTTGCTAAGTTGCGTTAGCTGCCTCACCCTTCAAACTTAAAAAATCAAACCTCTTGACACCTAGCCACCGTATTCATTCATTCATTAACAGATATGCTCAAGCCGTAAGTTCCTAGGGAACATGACTCCTTTATTAAGATTAGACAACTGACAAACAAATCTGCGGTATTAAATGGGATATTTACAGTAGTCTATCTTAATTAACCAATACAGAATATGTACATGTTAAAATTTCCAATCAATTAAGATCAAAAGCTTGGAGAGCCATGCCAGATGTCAAAGCAGAGTATTTATTTATTTGTATGTTCCCACTAGATGACTAGTACTTTTCCCAGTATCTTCGCGAACACTAGCGATGTCATATTTTGGCTAGTCACTTTCTATCACTATCAATAGCAAATGATGACTTACATTGGAGAATGAGCGAGAACAGGTCTCTTTAGTACGCTTATCAATATTCTACTAGTTTTCAGTAGTACTGTTGTTTATATTTATTTTGTAAAAGTACAAAATTGTGGCACAAGGCCGAAAAAGGGGATGGGTAACGACTGGTCTTCACTAACTATCTTATACCTAGCTAATCTGATTCACGACCCATTCATACATTACAATTTACCCATTCACCATAAGAACTCGTCCGTTACCAATCAATCCTCCATGCACCATAATACCACATCCACTCTCGGGAAACCTACAAAACGCGCCTCGTGCCATAAAAATTTAATGATACTAAAAGATATATACAAAATTCTTCTTCAGATTTTCAGTTCCTCTAGCCTTTTAGCTCATTTTTAACCACTGTTCCCAGCGGTCCAACAACGACTGGCACTACTCCCACCTTTATATTCCATAATTTCATTAACTGCTGTTTTACTTAAAACCTACATTAGTCAGTTAACACCAGTTCTCGTACGATCACCGAAGTTAAGCAAAATAGAGCTTGGTCAATACCGGGATGAGTGACCGCCCAGGAATACCTAGGCGCTGTAAGATTGGATGTGCGGGTGGTGTAATGGATAACGGCTAGGAATTAGAACTCGGAGATCCGAATTCAAATTTCAATTCCAGTCGGGTTCACTATATTCAACTACGCGTAAATACCCTAGGAAACGGTATGAATCCACTTCTTTTCCTCCCAGCTATGGGTTAATTAGTAAGATTTGTATCAATAAATCGTTATTACCAAAAAATTCTGACAATCTAAAACTATTTTCTGGCTTTAAATAACCTGTAAAATGTTGATAAGACGTAAAAAGCAACAAATAAATCAATCAATCAATACAAATACAATGGTCTGTTGGACTAACGATACAGCATAGATTTTAAATACATAACATTTTCTAAATATAAATTGTTATGTCAATAATTATTTTACTCAATATAGGCATTAAAAATTTCTACCGGAAGTCGATACCCGAGAAAAATATATAAAGGAAAATTCTATGAAAATCTTTATGCCAAGAAACACTGAAGAAAATTCTGATAAAAAAAATGATTTACGTACGCGAAAGAACTAGAGATATTTTATGATAAGTTGTTTACCTGCAAACAAACAAAACAGAAAAATGTATATCTGTAAGTAAGTGTAATAATAATCATTTGCAGGCGAAAATCACCTCGATTTTAAAAATATACCAACAATGTAATTGGACTTTAATAAAATGTTCGGTACTTGTTTAAAAAGAGATTATTTTTTTAAAAGAAGTTTTCATTCCAAATTTCGGAGAACATATAAAAAAAAGTTGCACGAACGAAGCAAACAATGCCCAAACAACAAGTGTGCGAGAGACTGCAAAAAGACTTAGGACTTGTTAAATGGCGAGAGACTGCATATTACTTTATTCGCGTGCATTCGGCGTGCCGAGCGGCAAATTCGAGTTTTGATTTTATGGGAAATTTTCTCTTCTACTACTACTATCCTTATGATTATTATTACTATAATTTGTTGATACTTACAATCCGTGGGTGGTTGAATAGGATTATGCTAACTCCGCGGATATAAAAAGACCGATTGTATCGTCTTTACTCTTTAGCTTTATAAACTACAAGTAAAAAAAGAAAGGGAAGAAAAAAAAAAACAGGTAATAATGATAAAGTCATTAGTTAAGTTAGACAAGTAAGTTGTTTTGACCGTCTCTCTCTGATCTTTGCTAAGAATTAAATTTTCTTATGTGATTCGTTGTAAATGGTTGTTATTGCAGCAAGGAAAGAAGAAGAAAAAAAACAACATTGCAATAAATAATTTCGCCTGTAAGTGTGTTGACATTGTTGCGTGCTGCGTTCGCAAACATCGATTAATCACGTGGCGAAGGAGAAAGGCAGATATCTCATTGGATTTTATATTGGCTCGGGTCTCCCATATACCCTCACCACCTCCGTGGGTGGGTCACGTGACTGTAACTTGCTGTCCGGCATTGTGAGACAAAAACGAAAGCCGATTTTTTGCGGGCTCGGACGAATTTTTCTTTCTTTTTTTTTTTTTAAAAAAAAAAAAAAACTTACACGGATCGAATCGACCAACGAAATATATTTACTTACACACGACCGGATTTACCCAACCTGAAGCCGAGAGGAATAAAATTAAAGACTAAATATTACAAACAGTATTTTAGTTTACATTAATAATGTTGTAAGCTAAAGAAAGTCGATTATTATTTGCTGGAATAATAATAATATTCACTTAATAATATGGAGCTTCGATTACTTTTTTTTCTGTGTCTGGAATGATTGAAATGTACTTCTTCAGTTCTTTGCGATTTGAAAGAAAAAGGATTTCCACTCTGATATACACAAAGAAAAACTTCTTGCGAATATTTTTTCATGTAAGTATTTTTATTGTTCCTTTGCCCAAGAAATGTTTGTTTTTTTGTCACAAATGAATGAAAAACTGGTTTGATTTTTTTCTTCTTTTCAATTTAATTACTTGCAAATTAAAAGTGCTATTATCTATCTAAAATCATACTCTTATGTTTTTAAAAATCGAGAAAATTATTTTTGACTGACATAAATAAATTCAAAGACCAAAAATTGAGATGTTTAGTTTGTACAATTTATTTCTAACATTTTTTAGACTTAGAAATTAACTCTCTAAAAAAGCCTAAAGTTTCTTTTGTAGACAGTTTTTCTTTTAGATACTTTCAAAATATGTCTTATTTTCTTCTTAAATCTGAATAAATTCGTGACGTTCCAGTGGTTGATAAAAAATAAACACTGAAATTGCTAACAAACTTTTTGAAAGGTGGCCCACAACAACAACACATAAAAATTTTTGTTTTGTTGTGGGCCACCTAAAATGTTATTCACGTAGTCGTAAACACTTAAGTTAAAAACAGCTTAGTTTAGGAACATGTAACTTGAATTTTTCTTAAGGTGATATTTGTAACGTCAATTGTCATAATTAGCTTCGTCTGTCTCGTATTTTGAAAAATATATTTTTTAAGTTTTAAACCGAACGTTACTATTTCATAGTTGTTTTTGTTTTGTTTATTTTGTTTTTTAACAATTGCGTTAAAACTCCTAAAGATGTTTGTGAAACGAATATGTAACGAAACTGACACTTCACTTAAGACAACCTGAAATTGTAGGATAAGGGAAGGCCATACGTCTTTCATAAATGACTTTATTGAAGTTTGCCTGGTTGTTACACTAACTACGAAATTTGTTCAGCCTCTTACTCCTTATGTGTAGTAAATTCTGTAAATACCACGGAAATACTTCTTTTTCTTTTTTTTTCTTTTTAAGTCATTATGATGATGGTCCAAACCAAACTAATTTCCTCGTTTTCCTATCCTTCACAAAAGAGACACCTGAGGAGGGCCGTAGAGTACACGTCCGAAACGTTGGTAGGGAAGGGTGGTTACTAGTCTGGAGTAACTAATTAAACTAAAAAACATTTCGTGGAACAAAATTGATAACTGTTGAAATGAGTTAAGTGTTTTAGTTTTGCTGTTTTCTTTCTTCAGGATTTTATTTTCGCTATATGAGAACTAGGTAAAAAATATTTTTATAACTTTGTGTAAATTTTTTATCAATAGCGGTAAAAATGTTAGTGAAAATATGGAGGCTTAAGTGTTTTGTTGACATTGTCATTCGTATATATATTTTTTTGTTTTATTGTAAAAAAAAAATAAAATGAAACCATGTCTTTACAATTGGTTCATTAAATTTAAATCTAATAATTTTTCTTTTATTTAAAATAAACACCTTATTTAACTCAGATTTATCATTTAAAAGAAAAAAATCAATTTTTAGGTAGACTTGATTTGCTCTCTTCAGCCACGTGTATTTTTTAAGTTTAACCTACTTAGATTTTTTTTAGCTATCTTCATATTGAAGGAAAGTCGTAGTTTATTTTTTGACAATCTAAAAAGAACCGACTTGCTTAACTAAAAAAAAATCTATATTTTTCTACGGAAATTTATTTTCCTTTATTTTTTCCTGATTAAATGCAAACTATTTTAAGTTAACTTTTGTTTTTAGAAATTTTCATTCATTAGTTTGAAACAACGCCAGATTTTTTTAATTAACCAAATTTCATTAATATTTCAGTGTTTCTATTGCCAATGCTAGTGTAATTTCTTTTAATTATTTAATTTTTTATACTATTTTGGTTTGGTCCGTTTTAAAATGTTCTCATTGACCTCGGTATTCAATTATTTTAAACCCCGGGAACCGAGACAAACTCAAAACAAAATATAAACAAAAATCTTTCGTCAGAGAACAGTATTTTCCGTATCTTACCAACCGTTCCCTAAAAAAATAAATACTTCCCAAGAAGAGAAAGTTTTAAGTCGCTCTTTCCAATGGATTGTGTGTTAAAAATAGTTTTCCATAATTTTAGTTTTAAAAAGGTGCCAGGAACTTCAACAAGGGTGTTCAGTTATCAGATTTTTTTTTCTTCCAAAATTACACCCTTTTTCGTTTATGTACAAATTGTAGAGAATTTGTGTCATTGCATTGTACGTCAATGAACTCGCAGACTTCTTTAGGAAAGAGGAGAAAGGCATAAGTTCCGGATAAATCTGTATTCAACAAATCAAATGTCTTTTTTTTTTCTTTATAAATGCCATAAAAAAAAATAACAGCAAGAACGATCTCCTTAGCGATTAAACATTGTTTCAAAATATTGATGCGGAATATTTAAAACGTAAAATCCTGGTTCAGTTTTCATTTGGTACAAATAAAACCTCAACAAAACCGCGTGAGTAAAAAAACTAAGAAGACTATTGAATCGGTTACGCTTCAGCTGATGAGTAGTACAGTACAGCCCATTTGGAGCATTCAATGAAAAAAAAAAAAAAAATACAACTCTGTGTGTGTAATTATGATAGAGAGAAAAAAAAGTTTGGCTTCTACTTACTGTTGGGTTGGGGGATCTTACCTAGTGAGGAAGTAAAAGATAGGAAGTTTTCGATTAGCAAGTAATGAATTCGTACGTTAAGATCAATTTTAAAATTTAGAAAGCAAACTGACAAGATCCCCCTACAAACTTTCGTTCTTTCGCCTTTTTTTTATTTTTTTATTTTTTTATTTTTATGATTAAAAAAAAAATAAAAATGTATATAAAACTAAAAATCTGTCGCGATCTGCTTCTAAAATTTGCCGGCTCTGCTTGGTGATTGACTTCATTCAATGATTTGTATAATCGAATACCTATCATCGATCACTTTGTAAAAAAAATAAAAATAAATAAAAAAACTGTTCCTGACACAATTTTATTTTCTAGTCAATATTTCCAAAGCATGGGCTGTACTACTCATCAGCTGAAGCGTAACCAATTTAGTTTACTCACGCGGTTTTGAAGAGCCATGCCTGATGTCAAAGCAGAGTATTTATTTTATTGTCATTATGAAAAAAATAAAATAATTCCTAAAAGACCAGTTTTTAAATGGATTCTAAAAAAATTAATAAACTCTTTTAATTTTAAACGTCATACAATAATTAATTCTTCAAAATCTCAAAACCCTTTCTTTTTTTAACTGAACTAAAAA